TGTGTGTGTGTGTGTGTCTGTGTGTCAAGTGGGAGATGCAGCCCCTTTTGTATTCTACAGTACGACAGCCTCTCATTGTAAACCAGGGACATCAGAGGAGACCAAAGCTAGAAAAGGAACAGTGGGAAAAAAAGACATATTGATGATGGAAAGGGGGAAAAGGGACGAGAGTGAGAGTCACGATTTAACCATGCTGCTGACAGGGTGTGGTCAGTACAAGAAAGAGGGAAATAAAGAAGAAGAAAAAGAGGTGGGGAGGGCTGGAAATAAGATAAACAGGGATATGGAGAGAGGGATGGCGTGACACGGTGATGAATGGGTGGAGGGAGAGAGTGGACACCATGTGAGGATTTGTGCTGAAGTGATGAAAAATGAAAAAGGGAAATAAAAGCATGAAATAGTTGGGAGGCGGATGCGTGAGAGGGAATGAGGTGTAGAGAGCAAGAGAGAGAGAGAGAGAGAGAGGTGGGGAGGGGAGGCAAGGAAGAGTGAATGAGGGAGGGGAGCAGAGAGAGGGGGGGGTAAAGGATGAGCTCATTGCAGTCTCTGGGCTGATGACATGAGGAGGAGGGGGGGAGGGAGGGATGCAGGCTGGTGGTGGTGGTGGTGGGTGGAGAGGGGTTCATTGCTCGTCTGCGAATCGATAGCCAGCATCTGAGAACCACACACACACACACACACATACACACACATACACACACGCTGCTGCTGCCACACCAGCGTCTGCCGTCCACCGTCAGCTCCCAGAATCCCCTCCTGCATTCAGAAAAAGCGTTTCAGCCTTTGCATTATTTTCCCTCATCATTGAGCTGTACTCAACAGAAAGAGAAGAAGAAGACGAGGAAGTGCAGGAAGCCGGCTACTGTCTGCTCCCTTCTCCTCACCCTCCCTCCCTCCCTCCATCCATCCATCCTCTCTCTCTCTGCCTCACACAAATCCTCATCTCATCCACACCCAAGGATCCCCTCCCTGCGTCTCCACCACTGTCTCTCCCTCTCCCTCTCTCTCTCTCTCTCTCTCTCTCTCTCTCTCTCTCTCTCTCTCACACACCACTCCTTCTCCTCATACCCCCTCAACCCCTCCAACCACATTTTTTTCTTGCCTCTGGGGTGGGGAATGCTCGTCTGACCCCGTTTCTTTCCGCTCTGAGACTTTTTTGTGGATGCTCTAATATTTGATTCAGCCCGGCTCTGACACTTTGTTGCCTGCTACCTGTGGAGGTTCCCTGGTCCCTCTGGTTCATCCTCTGCCGTCTGTCGCACAGAGCGCAGCCCCACTGAGAGGCACCATGCTGGGATTGGATGTGTGTGAGTTTGGGGGTCAGGTGCTGGAGCTGCTGTGGCTAACTATGTGCTACAGAGGTGAGGTGATATATGTAAATCATGGGTGTGTGTGTGTGAGTGTGTTTAAAGGGTGTTCATCTCTGTGTGTGTGTGTGTGTGTGTGTGTGTGTCATATGTCTTTATCCTGGTGGGTGTGGACATTTTTATGTCTAACATGAAGCGCAGGCAAGACACACCAAAGGCTGCTGATCAATAGCTATTGATCACATGCTAAACTATCTTCTGTGTGTGTGTGTGTGTGTTTATATATATGTGCATATGTGAGTTTGTGCGTGAGTTTGTGTGTTGCTTTTCTAATTATGTTTCTGCTCACATATAGATTCATAAATAAACAGAAAAGTGTGTGTGTGTGTGTGTGTGTTAGTGTGATGACACAGCTTATGCAGGAGTCAGAGGGTGTCACCAACGCCTGCTGTTACTTCTAACAGTATTTTCTGCTTTTGTATTTACAACAGTAATATATTTGCAATGTCGGTCAGCTTTCTCTCTCACTCTCTCTCTCTCTGTGTGTGTGTGTGTGTGCTCACTACACTGCAGTATTGCTGAACACTTACAGATGGTGGGGTTTCCCCTCACAAGTCTGTGTGAAAAAAAAGACGGAGGGAGATGGATGCAAAAAGAGAAAATGACGGAAGTGTTATTTGACAGTAGAGACGTGGAAACACAGAGAGATGGAGAAGATACTAAGGAAAACAAGAGATCCTCTTCCAGTGAATGCCTTGAAAGTGTCATATGTGAGATCTAAGAAATCCATGAGTCCATGATCTTTACCTCAAAGAATTTCCACCTGCAGTTTTTAATAGATTCATGAAACATAGAGCCTTGTGTTGCTGCTGTGATTTACATGCAACAATAATCAATGTTTTCCGAAATATTTCTGACCCACTGTCTCGATTCCATTCTGAAAAAATCATCTCTACAATCACACCAGTTTATGTCTCTGCAGAAATCAAATTCATCATTTAAAAAACTGCATGTGAGACATTTCATGGCAGTTCTTTGTGGATATGACGCATCAAATCTTTTCGAAAACTCTTGACTTGGATTTAATTTTTATAAACGAGGAGGAGGAGATTTTGAGATAGGAACGTGGGAGGTGACTGAGTGGAGGATAAGTGGCAAGAGTAGCGAACAAAATGATAAAGCGAAGGAGCGAAGGAAGGGGCACGGAGCTTAAGAGGTTTGGAGAAAGTGGGAGGCTGAGGAGGAAAAGAAGAAAGGAGGTGAACGATGAGGGAGAGGAGAAGAAAGAGGTTAAATAAAAGGAAACAAAGGGAAATATTGTGATCGACAACAAAGAGTGCACCGTGTGTATGTGTGTGTGTGTGTGTGTGTTAGGCTCAGAGGGTGAGGCCCATGTGGAAGAACACTCCTCATGAGCTGTCAATCAGCAAACACCAGCACGAGCAGCCAGCGTTGAAATAGGCTAATTGAAATCTTTCTCTTTTCTCTCCCTATCCTCATTTCACCTGTTTCCATCCTCATCCATCTCCTCCCTTCTACCTTCTCTATCGTTCTTTCATTTCCAATCGACGGTCACTCAGTCGCCTCCTCCTTCTCTTCTCCTCACTTTTATCTTAACCTCCCTCTATCCTTGCTCCCACTGTCGGATTAAATTAACGTGACCCTGCATGTGTC